TGCAGTCACAATCGAGCCAGTGAGTATGGATGTGCACAACTTACTTGAAGGTAACGCGTGCTTCGTCTCGAGCGCCTCGCGCTTGGTAGGTTTGGTAGGGGCAGTCACTGTGAATCGCGGCAAGCGAGTTTAAAAAGCAGAAACGTGATAATATACCAGCAGGCATGAAAATACGTACGTTTGGGCGACACGGTAAGCGCCTCAAGATACTGTGTATCGGTGGTCTGCGAGTCCAGTGCTCCACCTAATCCAAATTGACTGTTTATAAAGATGTGTTTGATGAGCGAACGGAGGCAATGGACTACAGAACCGCGAACAGACTTACAGGGCGGTGAGAACACCGCATGTATCGCTCGCCGAGCGTCGTGGCCGTTTGCGCGCCAATGGAGACAAGGCGGGCCAGTCATCGTATGCCTGAGTGGGGGTGTATTCATCTTGGGAGTCCTCCATGGGCAGCAGAGTGTGAGGAATGTCGTATATTAGACCGTTATGTCGCGCTCTGGTGCTTTGGAACGTGTCGTGTCGTGTCGCGTCGCGTCGCGTCATGCCGCGTTTTGCATCTCAGCAGGCATGGTTTCGTACGGGACTCCATGGACAATGGGTAGATATGCAAATCGACGTGAGAAGGACGTTCGAGGCCCAACGTTGCTCCAACGTCAGAGCATGGTCGTGGCGACGTGTCCCATGCATAACTCGGAGGCTGTGTCATAACATTGATCTTTTGTCCGGCATGCATGCCGACGGTTGTCTCTCACAACCTCATAGCTACGTAGGCTCACTTAGACGTTGTAAAAACAACTGACCCCTCCGGTGGTGTATGCCGCTGGCTTTACGCTTTTCATGCCTTATTAGGCAGGTGGGGCTCTTATTCGGACACATGATGCCGACGATGGCAGGCGGTGACGCTCGCGACTTGTTGCAGTCACCTGATATGTGATGCGTGACGCCCGACGCGCTTCGACGCGTCAGTACCTATGACTCTGAGCTATGTCGGACCCATTCCATTCCAAAGGTTCAAAATCCCTGATATTCAAACAACAGATGATATATAAAATGTAAGCTACTTTGACAAACGTGAAACTACATAAGACGCAGATAACACACACTGATACGCCATATGGTCCTTTAGACCCAGAATGTTAATACAACAACCACAGCACACAAGTATCACAATAGATAAAGCACGAAGGATAGGGCATAATGGATGAGACTTAAACAATGAATTGGAACAGGAACACAAGAAATCATCCGAGACAAAACGCCTCGTCATGGAGAAATAGGAATCAGCTCTCGCCCTTCAGTATACAACCATTTTATTTCCTAGCGCCCTTTTGCGCATCGAGTAGCCTCTGGGAGGGAGTCTTGCTTCTGCGCGGTCTGGATCCTCCTGTAGTTGAATCCAAAGGCAATTCGGTCGCCACCGCGAGGGACGATGAAGACGGTACCGGTGCATCTCCTTCAGTCTGCTGCTCGCTTTGATCTGACTTGACTCTACGCCGAGCAGTAGCACCTTGTCCATGCTTCTTCTTCGTACTCGCCGCCCTGGAACGCTTGTTCTGCTTTACATCGGAGGCCTGGCTTGGCTCCGCAGCCACCTGTCCGGCTGCAGTATTTCTAGGCGCCGTAGAGTTCTCAGCAGGTCCGGCCTTCTTTCCCCCTCGTTTTGCCTTCGTTGGTGCTTTCCCCGCGAGCTTTGGCGGTTCGGGCTCTTCAGCCGCCGACGTATCTTTCTGAACTATACCGCCCTCCTCAGCGCAAGCTTTCTCCACGGGTGGCGCCTTTGACTTTTTGTTGCCACTACGCTTCGTACCAGATCCGCCTTTCGTTATTTGTAGCTTCTCATTCGGCTCTGCCTCTACTTCAGGCTGCAGAGCAACTTGATGCCCCTCCTCCGCTTTATCCGTGACTGTGGGAGGAGGACCTGGGACCTCTTTCTTCCGTCCCTTTTTCACTTCTTTGGGCTTGCTAGCGGGCTGGTCCTGTACTCCCTTCTCTACCGCGGCACTTTCACCGGTCTCAGACGCCTTACGAGCGAGAGCGATCTCGGATGAGGAATCTGCCACCTTTTTGGCAGAGGGTGCAGATTCCCCTACGGGTGGAACCAAGCGTACGGTCCTCCCCCCAAGTGTAGACAGTGGCTTTACGGGCCTGGAATGTTGAACCTTGGGGTCAGATTTGTGCTGGGAGACGGGAGGTGACGAGGGCTGTGCATCCTCTTCCTGACGGGGTGCCTGGTCTGCGCTTTGAGAAGAGGGAGGGACGTTCTCCTTAGTGGGTCCTGATGTACCAAAAGCGTCAGGACCAACGGGGGCGTCAGCGACCGATATGGCTGCGATTGGTTCTTCTTCGTCGCCATCAGTTGGTGGATTCGAGAGCGCCGGCTGCTCTTCTGCGATGCTCGCGCCCTTTGCTAGACGGCTGGATCTTCTTTTGGGAGCCTGTAACTCCTTTTGCCTCTTTTTCGGAGGAGCCACTGATTTACTCTCCGTTTCCTCTTCAGCAACAGCGCCGCGTTTCTTTGTGGACGTCTTGCGTACATCTGTGGACTCCATATACCACGACACAGGTGCTAGTCCCTGAGATCGGGATATTTGGTGATTGACGAGGCTGGAAATGTCATTCACTTCGATCCCAGAGGTCGGATTGAGAATGCGGTCAAGTGCTGGATGAGACGGGCTAATCAGTCACCACGCTAGTCGCAGATATAATGAGTATACACACTGAGCTCCCTGAGCACGCACTCCAGCGTAGTAGACCTCACAGAGATATGCCACACTTTCCAGTGAGCCAACCAACGCGGGGTGCGCAGAACTTCTAGTGCCGCTAACGCGAATAAACGCTGGTCTTGAGGAGGCGGCGGAAGTTGCTTCAAATCCTCCTCCATTCTCTCAATGGACTCATTGCCTTTAATAAGTGGGACCTCTCGGCATACGTTCAACCACTGCTGGACTTCGGGATGGAACACTGTCCAGCGCCCGCCAGTCATCCAGGGTGGAATGGAGGGCATGGGTTCACCGAGACTATGATGAGCTTGTGCGTATAAGAACCCCGGGGTTATGGACCGTTCCGGCTGTGGATGTGGGTCCACAGCATTGTTGCGAGACCCTCGGCGCGTTGACGGCGTTGGCAATCCACCTGGCGCATCCTGGAATTCACCCTCCTCCGCTTCATTTCTCGCTATTAGCTCCGCCGCCTGCAAAAGAATATCCATAATTAAAGTATAAGCTTGTTTATTGAGCTTCGTTATCCAGGTGATACCCCAGAGGTGGTTGTTGGACGGTGTGGCTAACCCCGAGCAGTGCTTTCGTGGACGGTGAAATCGTACGCTGAACAGATCGGTAATGAGTAGATAATAAGATATCAGTATTTGTAGCCCAGTAGATCAAAGCTGAGGCATGTAGAATGGGAGTGTATGGATGTGGCTGGGAAGAGAGGGAGGAACGAACAACAGCAGTATCCCCGCCACAGGAAGCGTGGAAATAGCATCCAAATATGGTATCGCCTCCTACCCTATGCACGCTTTGTTCTACGTTGACGACGCTGGGGACTGGCATCGGCTGCAATTCATGGATTAAATTACTCATATTGTTTTTCATCCACGTTAGTGTGGTGATGGAGGCTGAGAGCTGTCCGTCTACTGTGGCTCCCACGTTGTGGGCATCCTTCGGAACCAGATTTTTAGCCCTGCGCTTCAATTTCAGCAACATCCCCACGGTGGTCGACTCGTACATGGTGCGTCGTTGGCAATACTCGTTACGAGCGATGTGGCACACCTCGCATACTGCTAGTCAGTGCTTCATGACTGAGGGGAAGCTCTGATGAGCATATTTACTGTCATTATCGAGACTACGAAGATTGTTGTAGGCCTTAGGCCTGTGTGAACATCCCTCGAGCAGGTGATAATCGCAGCCAAACAATTCGTCCCCAGAGGCGACAAGAGGTTAATGCTCACGATATGCAGTCTTTTAGGGGAAGGATGTGATGCACGCCTAAGACTTAAGCGAATGTATAAAGATCCACAATATAGTACAATTAGAACCAGAAAAGAGCGACTGGGAAGAATGAGAAGAGCTTCTATCACAGGCCCATCAATTTCATCGCCTTAAGATACGGATTATTTCAGCTGGAGCTTCAGTTGGGCCAGCCTTCTCCTGCGCTCAACTAATAAGTAGCTCACTATGGCGGACTGAGCATAAGTACCGGGGGAAGGATACAGACAACATGTTTACCCACCGATTATCCTGTCCATGGCTTCGAGATCCTTCTCTTTGCTCCCCTCCGGCTGAATTACCTCAGGTCTGAGCTCGAGTACGGCATGCTTCGACATGCGGAATACCCAGAAATGCCGCTTGTGCGGTTTGAAGTTTGCTACGGGTTTCTCAGGGTCTCCGGGCTTGATCATCTAGCGACGGGATATGTTCGGAAAAGATCTTAAAGAGCGAAGACGAATTTTGTCTTACCTGCAACCGCCGCCTATGCGTCTTCCACCTGAGCTCCTCGCCGGGCACAGCGGGGAACGTGCCGGCTACTTTCTCATGCTCGTAGTTAATAAAGTCCTCTTCCCTAATCCATTCCCCCTCTCCGCCCTCCTCCCGCTGCTTCTCCTCTTCTGGTCCCCGCGCCAGGCCATCGCCAGGCTCGCGACCGAACCGCACCCAGACACCCTTCTCTTTGTTCTCGACGCCCTTAATCCGAGCGACGAGGTTCATGGCGCGAGACTCTTTGTCTAGGCGGAAGATCTTGGTCACATCGGGGTGCCAGAAGCGGGTGACGATCTCGTAGTAGATGGTGTCGTTGTCTATTGACACGGTGGTGTTCCGCAGGGAGTTGCAGGTGAAGGTGAGGCGGTAGGGAGGGGCGGGCTTGGGAGGCGGCGGCATTATGATTCAGGAAACGTGAGCGAATGACGAGGCAAGCGAGGGTTCGAGAGCTGGTGATCGCTGTCGCAGACAAAAGCGAATGAGCTAGTCTTGACGTGCGCGAGGTCGTCCGTGCTAACCGAGAGCCGCTCAAGGGAGGAGGCCATTTATATAGTCGACGGCGCACCATACTTGGCGCAACATCCCACAAGCCTAAGCCACCCATCAAACAGGACGTGAGAATTCGCTGTAGGCCCTGGGACATCGGACACAGGCTATGTACGATAGCCGGCAGGGGAAGGCGATGTGTGTGCGAGCTTGACCATCAAGTGTCCGACCGGAAGAGAGGTTCCCAGAGAGCGGATGTGAGCAAGGCGCAAAAATAGCGTCTTTTAGGAGACTCATCGGTGGAGAAGCTATTGTGGCTGTGTTATACTCCTACCGATAGCGCTCCAGTAGCCTTCAGGTGTGGGATCCTGTGTGTCGGTATTCAGGTTGCGTCGTTGACCGGGTATTAAATACGGGAACACGATGATTGTTTCTCACCATATCAATGGGTTCACTGGGAAGATGTAAACCGAGAAGCTTAAAGAAACGGCCGTTGCTAGCGGGATCTGGCCCCTCCATAAGATGTCTCTATCCCATCGACCGCGAGTGCAGCGGAGGGTACCTAGAGGGGAGGTGTCTGCCAGAGTCTCACCAATAATCAGAGAAACCCGCAGCCCGCGGATCGTTCTAGCAATGCCTTCACGCCTGTCGACCATTTGGCAATCATCAGCGCATCAATACTTATACCATCTGCCAGACACAAATAAAAAATGAACAGTACGGAAACGGCACATCATTTTTGCTCTCCGCCACTCGCGATCTCCCTCAACATCTCCCGCACACTCTCCGCGCCCATTACCTCGCCCCTTAACGCACCCGCATACAGCCCCCAGACCATATCCCTGAACTCCGCATACGCATCCACGATCCTATCCGTCGCATGCCCCACCAGCACCTCCACCGTCTTATCGTCCTCCAGGTACAACCTCATCCTCGCGACGCCCGCCCGGAAATCACGGTGACACGCGAGGTGGAACTCGCGCTGGATCTCGGCGGCGGCCTGCTCCGTTGGTATCGTGGCGGACGGGCTCGGAGGCGCGTTGGACTGCACCTTGCGCGCGGCGGAGTACGCGCGCACTTGCGCGACGAATCTCTGGAACGAGGCGGCGATGGGATCGGAGAGGAGGCTGATGACTTCTTCGCACGCCTTCTTCAGGTCGGCGTCGATTCCCTGCACATACCCAAACGCGTAAGTAGCTGCATAGAGACAGAGAAATGGGGGTAAGAGTTACCTGCCGCGCGTCGGTCATGCCCTGATCCGCTTGGGGCAGCCCGAGGCTCGCGAACAAGCTGGCAGGCAACAGACTCGACGTCCTATTCACCACGCTCGCAAACGCGTCTACAGTCGTCCTCAGCATCTCCTTCGCCTCACCCTACTCATTTCACCGTAAAACAAACGCACCTCCGATATAATCTCCGCCGCCGCCCGAACTACCCCCAACCCCCAAATCCTTGCCCCTCAAATCGAGGCTCACCGTCATCTCCTTGAGAATGAGCAAGTGCCGCACAAGGAAGAGCTGCGCGTCCAGCGGGCCCGGGGGCGCGTTGTTCCGCGCTTTGATCAGCTCGGACGCGGAGACGAGGGACTGGCGGCACAACCCAATGGCTTCCTGCGCGATGTCTTCGAATATCGCAGGCTGTATACGGTGTGTCGTTAGGTTTGATAGATGCGCATTGAATGTGGATAGACCGGTGGATAGTGATAGGAAGAGCGTACTATCCCAGGACCGAGTCCAGACCCGGAGCGAGGAGCACGAAAGGGCAGGAAGAAGGGAAGGAAAACAGTAGCGTAACCCGCACCTTGACGAAATTATGCAGCTGCGAGAGCACCCACGCCGTCTTCTGCACCGTCGGGTACCACGTCTCCCTCCTCTGGACACCCGCCACCTGGCTGAACAGCTCGCTCACGCTCTCCTTCTCCCTCACTGTGATTTCATTCCCGCTGCCCGCGCCGTTCCTCGGTCCTGCTCGTCTGTCAGCTCTAGGCCCATACCCACCGCGTAACCAGGGAAGATATCGGGCAGGGGAGGAAAAGAGGAAAAGAGGGAAAAGGGAAGAAGGGAAACGAGACAACGCACCCAACAGCCGATCCGGCCACGCCAGATCCTCGGGCTTCGGCACATAATACCTCACCTCGCTCTGAATAACGCTCTGCGCCTTGAAAAACAACCTCGTCTGCGCGTCCTGCAGGACCATCTGCAGCAAGTAGGCAATATGCAGTCTCCCGAGCCCTTTCCTTCTTCTCCGTTCGCCTGGGGTGCCGAAGGTCAGCTGTCCCTCCTCGTTATCATCGGAGTCGGAGTCAGAGTTATATGCGGAGGAGGGGGAATCGGGATGGGAAAGGGAGGAGGGGGAGGAAGGGAGGGAGGGCACGTCGAGGACCATGAGCGCCTGCAGCACCGTGCACACCTCGCAGAGCACCGTGAGGCGCGGCTCGTGCAGGATGCGCGGGCGGAGGTCGTCGTAGAGATAGTCGCACAGGTTCTCGAGGTACGCGCTATACGACCGCCGCCCATCCGTCCCAATTAGCGTTAGTCGAAGTGCGTATGATATATCGTGTCGAAGTGCGTATGACGTGTCGTGTCGAGAGGCGCGTATATCAAAGATGATGGTCAGCTCGTGTGAGGCGGAGGGACGGGAAAGGGGGCACGCACTAGAGCTGGTCCTCCCCCGAGTTGAAAAATGCGCGGAAGAGCTCGAATTCGTCGATGCACAGCTGCTTGAGGTAGCTGCACCCCGCCCTCGTCTTTCCACACCGACCAATGCAAGCATAAATCAGCACTGCTCCTCAAACCGCGATGGAACCGAATAAAAGGCGGGTGCGATATGGGGATGGTGACGGGGTAGGATGTGCAAGAACGGGAACGCCTGGGTAGGACGTATCCCAGCTGGACACGCAGGATGACGCGGGAATGGAAGGTCCTTCTCTCTCGTTCTTCCTGTGTGTCCAGCTGCGGACCGTCCTCGTACCCTCACATACCCGGCAACCCTACCCTCACCCTTCCCGTCCCACGCACCCTTCCCCCGACCCAATACAAACAGACACTCACCAACTCCACGAGCTCCGTCCGCCCCGGATCCAGTCCCTTCATCTCCTCCACCATCCTCGGCACCAGCAACCCCCTGCGCGCGCCAAAGTACGCCTGATGACATTCGCCCAGCAAGGCGGAGAGCTCGGCGGGGTGCGCGCGGGCGCGGCGCTCGAGCTCCCCCAGGAGGGGACGCAGGTGCGGGGAGAGCGAGCGGAAGCGGGTGTAGAGGAGGTGGGTTTGGGCTGTTGTGGATACGTCCTGTTCGCGGTGTAGAAGGGAACGGGAAGAAAATAATGCGTTAGTTCATTCAGGTGGATATATGGCGCGAACGACGGTAATGCCACGGGTGAGGAAAGTGAGGGAAATATAGATAGGCGTACCTGGGAGGATATGCGCTTGGTGATGTCCGCCGTGAGCGCCTTGAGTGAGCCGACGAAGTACATGCGGATGAGCGTCATCGCGCGCGTGAGGCACTGCTGGAAGCGCAGGAGGTAGATCTCCGCTTCTTTGAAGTGTCTCTGATGGTTTCACAGGCGTATCAAACAACACGGATATGAGATAAGGAGGAGAAGAATAGGTTGGAGGGGTGCGTACGTGCTGGCGGAGGTACTCGATGCAGATATCCACGCGCTCGACCATGTACAGGAAGTCGGTCTGGAGGACGAGGCTCTCCCCGGGGTGGTTCAGCATCCGCGTCGCGTGCTCGAGCTCCTGAAAGTACTCAAGGCGCTCGCCGATCGCCTCCGTGACCTCAATCAACCGATCCTGTCCCCCGCATCAGCCTCTCCCAACCGCATACAACCAACGCATACGCACCCGGTCCTCCAACAGCCGCTCACACGCCTCCTTCAAACTCCGCCCGCCCTCCTCCACGCTCCTCCACTCACCCAGCATACCCTCCACCTCATCCTCCACCTCGCCCACCCGCGCCAGCAGCCTGTCGCACGTCTGCAGATGCTCGCCCAGCTGTGCGAGGTGCGCGCGGAAGTGCGCCTCCTGTGCGTGCGCGACGGAGCGGTCGACGAGCGCGAACCAGTCGTAAAACTGCTGGGGCGTCGTGATGGGCGCGTGCGGGAGGAGGGAGGACGTGGCGGCGTGGGCGGGGCGCGGGGTGGGCGGGCGCGAGGAGGACGCGGCGCGCGGTTTGAGATTACGGAGGGCAGATGTGGGCGTGGATGGGCGGGAGGGGGCGTCGTCGATGCTGAACTTGTGTGTGTATGCAGTGTGCGCGATGACCCGTCATCCGAGCGGGCAAACGCACCTTGAGCGGGAGCGGCACACGCTCGCACGCAGCTTTTACGGCGTTGACGCTCTTGAGCTCGAGCTCGCCCAGCGGCGCTTTGGCCTCCCATTCCTCGAGTGTGATCGTCGGTTTGGGATGCGGGGAGGGCGCGTTGACCGTTGGCGTCGCGGTGCGCCGGATGGCGGATGGTCTGGACGTCATTAAACGTGTAGAAATAACTGTGAAGTATACTCAAGCTCCGACTTGGTAGAAGGCTTGTGAGGGATATCGGATTATGTGGTCATTAGAGCAACGCAAGCGTTCCCGTCCGCGAGCGTGCTGGAGGCAAGCGACAGGCAAAGGACAGGCAAAGTGGCGAAGTGGCGACGTGCAGCCGAAGTGCAGTGATGGTGTGGCGAAGCCGAGTTGTACTCTGAGACAAGTTACTATGTATACAATTGAAGGTACCTGAGACACGCAGTGCGCGCATGCCCTCCAGATCTGGTTGAGGCGACTGGGGCACTTTTACATACGTAGGGTCTATACACTCGCAGGTAATGGTTTAGACACTTGCAGGTAGTGCCATTGTCACACGGAGTACCGTACCCATTCGGATGAAGTGTCCTATGCACTTGCAGATAGTGCCTTCGACACTTGCATGAAGTGAGTTACACACTCGTATAAAATGTCCCATCCACTCGCAGGTAGTGCCTTCGACATTCGGATGAAGTGCCTTGTACACTTCCAGGCAGTGCCTTGGACACTTGCACAAATTCATTATACACTGGTGCCTCAGACACCGCATTAAGTGTGCTATACACTTGGATCAAGTGCCTTGTACCCGTCGTTGCAGTGTATCAGACACGCCGATGAAGTGGCTTAGATACTTGCTCGAAGTGTAGCCACTTCCCCCATTGTATCTCCTAGGAGTGCCCTACGCACCTTTCAGTAGTGCCGTGCGCACGTCGAGTACAGTTTGGAAGTATGCCGTTTGCTAGGGATTTGCTGTAATCCTGCGTGTTGCCCATCAGGCTTTCTTATTCAGCCACAAACATATCCCGATATGGACTCGTCACTTCTATTCCTGACAGTGTTTCACACGATTCACACACGACCTGAAGACTTCGATATCGATGTCTCTTTCTTATTATCTGTCTTCTGTGATATGAACCCGTTGGCAGTCCGAATTATAAATAGACGGCTGAGTCCTCCTGTAAATTATCCTCTCTTTTTTCCCCACCATCGCTGGTCTTGAGCTGCCGTCTGACTTCTGAGTATTGCCCACCCATTCCATTTTTCTTCTGTTCCCCGTTGGACTCGCAGACTTCAATTCGTCGAAGAGTACATTCACAAGTGAGTTCCAACCAAGGCCCGCCATCGAGTTCAAGATCGAGTCGTCGACTCCTGCGGAGTTTCCGACGTGGGAGGACAACTCGCTTGCACTGCTTCGCCCGCCCTGAGTTCGCCTCGCTTCGCCACGTCTAGGCGGCATCGCGTTCCGACGCGGCGCGCTACCCACGACCGCCATGTACACTTGCTGCTCGTCGTGTCCAACGGTCTAGACGCCCTCTTGGAAGACGCTTATGAAGCAACTAGGGGGCTGAAGAATGTCGACCTTTGAAGAACTCTTCAACGCTAGCACGCTGGAGGTGCTCGTCCCTCCGGCGTCCTTCGCCCTCCCGGCAACCGGCCCCGCTGACTGCCTCGAGCAGCTCAAGTCCACGGGCGAGCGCAAGACAGCTTTCTTCGGTGGGTATCTATCGGTAGCACCTTTGGTTATATCATAACTTCTATAGACGAGAAACTCCACTTTCTCCTCGCCCTGCACCTCCCTTCGACCGAAGATGCCTCTGCCAGCCCACCCGCCACCCTCATCTCGTTCCTCTCCTACCTGCAAGTCTCTTATGAGGCCTCCTATATCCCCTCCATTCCCGCCGCTCCCCGCCCTGAGGCCTCCCCGATGCGCCTCTCGGCGCCCCCGCGCACCATGTCTCTCAAGAACCAGTCCAAACTGAACTTGAGCGTGAATGCGAACGCGAACAAACAGCACCCATCCATATTCCCGCCACACACGCCCAACCCGACGCCCGGAGCGTCTGGTGAGGATAGGAGGTACGTGCAGGCGGAGGGCACGCTTCTCAGCGCGGGAACGTGGGGCGAAGAGGCTCCGAATACAAAGCCGGGCTCGACACCCGTAGAAGATGAAGACGCGGAGACGTTTGCGTTACTGTATTCCGAAAAGGACAAGGAGTGGATAGCGGTGTACAGGCTCGTCGTGACAGTCGGTATGTCAAGCGTGCCACCCTAGTGCGTAGGCATTTTAACTAAGTGTCAGGACGAAACCGAAAGCCTTCCTGCGAATACCCATCTCCGACCCGCTCCTCTGCCTCACAGTCTCCACGACGCTGCGCGAGAACCCACTCCCGAACCCGCCCGCGTTCCTCGCATCCTTCTCTTCGTCCCCTCCGCCCGACACGCCAGTGGATACAGACGGACAGGGGAACGAAGAGGACGAAGAGGAAGGAGAGTTGGCCGGGTTGACGGAGGTCAACCTTCTGGAGGGGCTCGCATCTGGTACGTCCTTGCTTCCCATCCTCCCTTTGCCCCGACCCTCTCTTCTCTCGCTCGAGCATCTCACAACCAAGAAATAGGCCCGACTTTCCCGCCCCTCGACCTTCCTTCCACCCGGCTCCCTCCCACAACTCGTCAAACCGCCTTCTCCCTCCCCCCGGTCCCTTCGTCGCCCTCCTCTCCCTCCCACACTTCGCCCTCCCACCCGTCTTCACCCTCCAGCAAGTCCTCGTCCCGCCGTTCTTCCTACCGCCTCTCCGCCACACAACATCCGACTCTTCGCAAATCGCACCGTAAAACTCTGCCCACGCTCTCAGGCTTCCGCGTGCGCCTGCGCTCCGTGCTCGTCCCCTCAGCGGAGGAGGAGGGCGAGGAGCGCACGGTCGTGCTGTGCGTCGAAGTTGAGAACCCGCCTTCTTCTTTCTCGTATGGGTTCGCGGTCGAGCGTGTGGAGGTGGCTATATCTGGGCCAAGTGCGAGTGCGCGGTTGGTTGGGTGGGGTGCGCGCGAAGGGGACGGGGAAGAGGAGAAAGTGTTCCCCCTCCTCGTAGGCGCGGCGGAGCAGTTTAACCTCCTGTACGCCGTATCCTTCCATGAGCCCGGCGAGGGGCGCGAAGGGATGCAGCGCGCGGTGGCGATCACGATCCACGGGCGGCCCTTCCACTCTCCTACTTCCCTCTCCTCCCAGGAGCACCTCATGTACCCCACGCGCTCGTTCGCATCCCGCTGGAACTGCATCGTCGACCTCTCCCCGGAGCGCACCGCGCACGCCGATATGGTAGCGGTGAACCAGGATGACGCGCTCCCCGCACCCGCGTCGCCCTTCCCGCAAGTGAGCACACCGCGCACGGCCACGCCCTTCACGGCGCAAGAGAAACCGGCCCCGGTCTCGCAGCAGGTCGCGGGGAGCAAGCGGCACACGCTCGCCGCGCTCGCGCCCACCACGCCCAAGTCCTCGTCGAGACTCAACCCGACGAACTACCGCTCCTCCACCTCGCTGCTTAACCCCTCGCATACGCGCGACTCCCTCAGCCCGGCACCGCGCACCGCCATCTCGCCGGCGCCGCGTTCGTCCTTCCTCCCGCCCTCGCTCGTTCTTCAACAATCAGCCCCGCGCACGCCCACCACGTTCTCCCCGCGTATCCCCAGTCCTCCCCTTCCTCGTCCGCCCTCGACGCCCACCACACCCGAGGGGCAGTACGCGCGCACTCAAGTCCCACCGACGCCCGCGTACCCCGCTTACCCGAATTCGCCCGTGCCGCCAACGCCGTACTCGCAGGGCCCGATGGGTGGGGCGGGGAGCGTGGCGCCGAGCGTGGAGATCCGCAGGGAGCGCGGTCTGGCGGCAGGTGGCGGAGGACAAGGACAGGTCCCGCCGACGCCCGCGCCGTGGGTCACCGCGGGAGGCGCGGGGGGAGGGATGGCGCCGCTGCAGAGTATCCAAACGCAGGCGGACAAGAGCGTGCGCGAGCCGATTGTGGTGTCGATCGGTTTACTGCACGACGAGGAGGATGAGGGGAGGGAGGGCAGGATATATCCCCTCGACCGGTTCACGCTGGATATTTTCGTGTTTAACCAGAGCAGCTGGATCCGGCGGTTCGAGGTGAGCTACCCGCCGCGCGCGAGGCGCAGGCTGAGGGAGAGTGTGAGGGAGAGTGGCGGGTATTTCCCGAGCGTGACTGCTCCTGTTGAGAAGGAGAGAGATACGGGCCCGGGGATTATGCCGCTCGAGAACCGGGTGAGAGTGGGGTGAGTCAGGTCGTTCGTGTGTGGCATATGGAGTAACGCTGAGATGGCGTGCCAGACCGCTGCGCCCGGAGACTTGCCAGTCGGTGCGGATGGAGTTCCTCGCGCTTGCGCCGGGCGTGCATACGATCGACACGCTGGTCCTGACGGATATCGAGTCGGGCAAGTCGATGAACTTGAGGTATGTGTTATTCCCTCACTATCGTTGCCCAGTTGAAATGGTAAATTCCTTTCCGTAGGTCGGTGATGGATATTGTGGTCCATGACCCTAGTGGTATATAGCTGCAGTCCGTTGGAATGTTGATATCATTATTACCTTGCTTTTCCTTACAGTCTGCGTGCCATCGCCTTTCGCTGAGAATTGGGATAAGCAACACTGCATGTTATCATCGAGACGTGGGGCCATGATAAAAGGCAGTGATGATACGTGATGTTTGAAACCGCAATCCCATAAATTACCTTGCGTTTCATATATCAGCGTTTCGGGGCGACAGCATAACCAACAACACCAACTAGTATCATGAGGGGACATTAAATGACAAGAAGAGACGAGGGAATGTAGAGATAGCAAGACTGCGAACGGGAGACGAATGATAGGGGGTACATGGAGGCTGCAGCTCAACTGCGAAGGGACCCTCTACAGCCATTGGGACTTGTCCCATGCAGGGTCCTGCAGGAACGCGCACAATACCTTGCTTCCAGTCTGCGCAGCAGGAACAGTCAAGAATAGGCGCCGCACCCCATCACAAGACACGACGTACCTGCAGCAGCGGATGTCCAGCAACGACAGTCAAGAACCGCTCCAAACCCTCCCGCCTCGCCTCGATGACTTCGTCCGAGAACCGGTTGGTGAAGACCTTGCCGGGCAGCGGGGGGATGTTGACGCGCGTGGACTCGCGCTCGAGGATGTCCCGGAAGGCTTCAAAGTCGGAGTAGCGCCGGCGGACGACGGAGTGGCGTAGCTTGAAAGCAGGGATGTTGGTCTACACATCATACCCAATCATAAGCAATTACGGGTAGCTTCAAGGAAGGGGATGCTGAGGACCTTGGTCACTATCTCATAGTCAGTAAACATCTTCCGGCCGAAGCCTAGTCCAAATTGAAACAACGTCAGCGCGCTGTAGTCTGTCTGTACTTGGGACGCACCGTGTGTCTGCGGGTTCCTCACTTCAATCTCCAAAAAGCTCTCCGGCACGCTGTACATCTCCTCAATCTACAGACCAACCTGCGCGTGTCAGCAGTCCTTGCGTTTTGCTCCGAATATCCTTCACGACGTGCTTACAGTCTGCGAGCGACCGGTAATCCTGGGCTCGTCGAGCGCTGGACGCGCGAAGGGCGATGGGGTCGTCATCGTCGTGAGCGTTCAAGGGAGTCGAGTGCTCGGTAGGCGCTCATGATCATTGCATCGGAACCTAGGTGACTGAGTCACACGCTGTCACACAAGCGCTCGTGAAAGGCAGGCCGTCTGCGAGATTTCCTGTAAAGGCCGTCTAGGCACTACTGCCAGTACAACGTTGGAGTCACGAATACAGAGAATAAAATTCCCAAGCATATGCCAATGGATACGGGGATAATAGAGGAAGCATAGGGACGTAAGCCTGCCAATGGCTTGGTTCAGTTCGGCACAACCGACTCGACCTCGTCCCAATCCCCCAACTCCTCCATCTCCGCTTCGTCTATATCTCTTTTCCTGGTCTCATCCACCCCGTTGCTACAGTCATCATCCAGCGCCCTCTCAATGAGCTCGGGGTCGGGCACGAACACCCTATCCCCAACCTGCACGTCACCCGAGGGGGCATACAGCTCCAGCCCGCGCTTCGTGCGGTAGACCTGCCCGGGAGGCTCCGTCCCATTGCTGGGAAGGTCCCGCCGCGTCGCAGGTGCACCGTGCTGAAACTCCTCCCCGTCGTTCTTGCATTGGCCGAAGGGCGCGACGCAGAACGCAATGCTGTTGAAGCTCTTGAAGGTGACCGTGAACTTGTCGTTCGCTTTGAGATTCCTGTAGAAGCTGGAGAGGGACCCTCCCTGGCCTGACAAGAGCACCCCAATCAATTACTTTCCGGATGGTGTGTCTGGTGACTAATGCTTACTGCGGCATTCATCGATGCTCACGCACCTTTGAGTTGCATCAGCATCATGAGACGCTTGTATGAGCTCCAACGACTTACCGCGTCACCGCCGACGCCCCTCCCTGCGCCGTCGACGCGAATGGATACTCATCGCACGTAGTCTTCTTATCCGTGCGGCCTTTGCACCGGTTGTTCGTAGTACACCCGGCGGCGTTCCGCCTGCCCTTCTTCACCGTCGCGGACGGATTGTCGAAGGTGAGCTGGCTAGGCTCATGCTTGCAATTGATGGCGAAGCACATGTTCTTGCATGTCTCTATGTAATGCATGGTAGGATTAATGTAATGCATAGCAGCTGAACAAGAGTAGGATATGCACCGGGAATGCGGGTACAGTCAAACACGACGCTCGGGATCGCGAAGGCTGAGCCAGCAAGCAGCAAGAGGAGGAACGTCTTCATAATGTAGATGGTAATCTTGAGTATCTGACACAGTACCTGTCAGATGAGGACCTAGTGGTGAATTTACCTCGTATTTATAACAGCTAGCAGTCGGTGGGCAGACAGCGCCGCATCTGAGCCGAGTAGCAGAAGCGATCCTCGTGGTACAAAGGTCGGGGGATACGGAGGTGCGCATATCGATGTACAACGAGTCGAAACCGCCCGTTGAATCAGCGCCGGAGACTATGTCGTATACGGCCATGTTGACATGAATTGAGATCAGGAATTCTTGTTGTTCTGAGTTAAGACGCTTGCGGAGCGTTCACAAGTGTTACTTGACAGATGTAATGTTTGTCGTTCAGAGACAGGGAAGCACGAAGGCATCAGCAGCGCAGAAGACGGTGATGTACCACAGCTCAGGTGCCCGCACATCCTGGTACCACGCGGAGGCACGCTACTGAACTGTTGGTACCACTCGGCAGATCGGTGTTTAGTACAAGTGCTTTCCGGGCGAATAATGTGAAAGACGATCGATCTGTCGTGAATGTCGTGCGGGGAATATGGCGGTGAATACCTTCAGACACATCGACACTGGCAATGGCATGTATCTCGACGTGCTCGTCTTCAATGGGAGTATCACAAGGTGTTCGGGAGCCCAGGACACGTATAAGTGGAGAGCCAAATAGCCTCACATCCGAGACGTATGGAAGGATGGAACGGGCGTTCGTTGATTCCGAGACCCACTGCATCTTTTCCGGATAGTTACTCGGAGGCCTGTCATTATAATGTTACCTCTCAGAGAATCGGAGCTAAGCTGACGGCAGACGCCGGGGACATATTGATAGTATGACATCAAGCTGTGATGAGTTCCCTTAAGAGAGCAATATTGCAACAGATGTTTTTCGATTCTCTGTTCTGCAGCTACGGTTAGTCCCCCCTCTTTGAGTGCGGTGTGGTCAGGAGCTTTACCTATTTCACATAGTTCTCGATGCCGAACAAGCCGGTTCACGTTTACATACCCTTCGATGGAGTGGCGGATAAAGTGAAGCGAGGAATCATAGACAAGATCAACGAGCCTAACAAGGAGTTCGACTTCGCCGAGCCCCCGATTGCAGCTGCTCCAGCGCTCGACGCTTCCGAGCTACCGGAGGGCGACGCGATCCCGAACCATGCAGAAATCAAGCTAGAAGAGGCTATACAAAAGGAGCTCCAGTACGGCCAGGAATGCGGGCGGGGTACCGCGTTCTTCATCTGGGCAGAAGGTTCGGCATTGCAGGCCTCCGACCCGACCGTACAAGTCATACATGTGTGGCCTCCCGAGAAAGAGGGGGATAAGCCGAAGGTGCAGGAGATACGAGCAGAGCTGGGGCAGGTAGCCGGGATTGTTAATTGTGTCGAGTCAGGGAACCAGAGTTTTGAAGAGTGCCAGGAGTGGGCGGGGCCCGATGGGGTCGTCAGAGCGTAGCAGATTCAGTTTGTAGTAGAGCCGCTCATAGTGCCACACTGGCGTTACCGTAGCCATCCGATATTCGGGGGATAGAGCAGTGAATAAATAACTCAGGGGCAGCAATAAGCCAAGGAAAAGTACGTTTATACAAGTGATAAGCCCAGTGATGTGGCATTTACTGGCATTTGTTGTCGCAAGATTGGTTTAAATGTTTCCCCAGGCCTTAGACAAAGTCTCCAGAGCCTGCAGGCATACTTTCAAGGCAGTCTTTGAGATGACTAACTCGGAATGAGCGCTGTGATGGTGCAGTCCCAACTTGTAATGGTGGCAGAGAAAATTAAAGTGCGGACGGAGGCTGTGCAAGAGTTAGGGTGGATACTACGTTGGCAGTGGGCATCACCTTTGACCATCGTCCTGAGCATGATGCAGTCGCTCAAAACTTCCACTGATATAACAGGTTGTGTCAATATAAGCAGAATACAGTGATTCTATCGCTACATTACTTATTTTTCTACCCATAAGGCCCGACTTCATTGAAACTCGCAACAAATCATACGTCTCAGATTTTACTCTGCACACCATTTTCGCGCACTTTGGAACAATCTGAACCATGGACCAGTACCATTCCACGCATCCTTGATTTCCGGGGGATACCAGCTATTGCTCTCCAACGTCACGACACGTTCCGGGTGAGGCATCAACGCAAGCACCCTCCCATCCGGCGTTTGAACGCCCGTAATGCCCGCGGGACTCCCATTAGGGTTAAGCGGATACATCTCCGTCGGCTGCTTCTGCGAGTCGACGTACCGCAAGCCAACCAGACCTTGCATCTCGAGGGACCGCTGCTGACCCTGAGTAGTGAATGTTGCCCTGCCTTCTCCGTGTGCCACGGCGATAGGGAGGAAAGACCCGATCATTTCCCGCAAGAAGACCGAGGACTTGGTCACCGCCCCGTCATCAACCTCCACTATACACACCCTTCCCTCGAACCTCTCGCTCTTATTTACCTTGAACTCCGGCCAATCCTGCGCACCAGGCACGATCTCTTTCAACGCGCTCAAGAACTGGCAACCATTGCACACCGCCAGGGTGAACGTATCCTTCCTTGCGAAGAACTCTGAAAATTCCTTCCTCGTCCGGTCGTGAAGCAAGACTGACTTCGCCCAGCCCCGTCCAGCTCCAAGTACGTCACCGTACGAAAACCCTCCACACGCTGCGAGGCCACGGAAATCGGCGAGGCTCGTCGAGCCGGAGAGGATGTCCGACATGTGGACGTCCACAGCGTCGAAGCCTGCAGCAGTGAACGCCCACGCCATCTCGATATGTCCGTTCACGCCTTGCTCCCGTAGGATCGCGACCTTTGGCCGGCTGGAGAACGACGGGGCCGGCTCATAGGTGAACGTGAGGTCGTAGTAAATTCCCCGGTAGGTCTCATCCTTTATGAGCGAATACTCCTGCCCTGAACCTTCCGGATTGTCCCGCAATGACTGCATGCGGTAAGATGTCTCAGCCCAGGCAGCCTGCAGCTGAGGCCTCGAGCTCTCAAAGACAACCTCGGACTTGTGGATGAAGCTGATAGTTTGGTCCCCTGGCTGGAAGTTGACGTGCCCAATAACGTGGATATACGATGAAGGGAAACCTGCGCGAACGAAGGCGTTGCTGACGTCGCCAAGGTGCCTCTGGTGGACCTGCATGACCGCGCCGAGTTCTTCATTGAAGAGCGCCGAAACAAAGTCCTTTTTGTCGTGGATGAAAGAGTCAAGGTTGACTTCCACTCCTACGCGACCCGCGAAGGCCATCTCTGTGATAGTGGTGAACAACCCGCCGTCGGATCTATCATGATACGCTAATACGGCGTCCGGTGCAGCCTTCCTCACCGACTGGCAACCGTTTAAGAATGCTCTGAGGACCGACGCATCCTCCACGTCGGGGACAACATCGCCAATCTCGCTGAACACTTGAGCTAGCGCGCTGCCACCGAGCCTTTGCTTTCCGCCGGCCAAGTCGAAGAAGACCAACATCGTTTGCTGACCGTTCGCTACCTTCAATTCAGGGGTCCAAGTCTTCTCGACGTCCTCAACCGCCGCGAACGCGCTGATCACGACTGAAACGGGCGCAGAGACTTCTCTATCTTCGCCGCTCTTCCCGTCCTTCCATTTCATCGCCATAGACATGGAGTCCTTACCGACTGGGATACCGACACCCAGAGCCGGACATAAGTCCATGCCGATAGCTTGGACAGCCTCGTATAGGGCCTTCCCCTCACCACACTTTCCAGCGGCGCACATCCAGTTCGCACTGAGCTTCACCCTACTCAAGGCGTTGGTGTTTGAAGCAGATCCGGTCCCGACGTACGAGGCGGAGAGGTTCATCAGCGACTCAGCGACGGCCATTTTCGCGCTAGCTGCAGGATTAATCAAAGCAATAGGAGGTCTCTCTCCCATAGCCATGGCTTCTCCGCGCTTGACGCCGAAGCCGTAGGTAGCTCTCGTCACAGCACAATCAGCCACCGGCACCTGGTATGGTCCAACCATCTGGTCGCGCGTTACCAGACCAGTAATAGTACGGTCTCCGATGGTGATCAAGAAAGATTTGGAAGCGACTGCCGGGAGGTGGAGGACCCTGTCGACGGCAGCGGCAATGCGCTCTTGGAGTGATAACGCAGGCAGGTACTTGCTCAGCGAAACGTCAAACGGGACGAATGACACGGACTGCGTCTCGTCGGTCCTGTGCATCTTCGGCGGCTTCCCGAACAGCATCTCCATCTTGAGCCTCACGACGTCCTGGCCCAGTAGCCTATCACTGACAATCAGTATTTCTTCAGCGGTGGCCTCACCCACGATGCCGAACGGGCAGCGTTCCCGATCGCATATGCTCTTGAAAGTCTCCTCCATTCCAGACTCAGGACTAACGGCTAGGACATAACGTTCCTGTGACTCATTGCACCATATCTCCATTGGCGACATCGAGGTATCCGCGACAGGCACGTCCCGAATCTCAATCTTTGCTCCCAGTCCAGAGTCGTGGACCAACTCCGGTAGAGCGTTGGACAAGCCGCCGGCGCCAACGTCGTGGATACTCGTTATCGGGTTGCCAGCAGCTCCGAGGTTCACGCACGAATCGATCACCTCCTGGCACCTCCTCTCCATCTCAGCGTTGTCCCGCTGCACCGACGCAAAGTCCAGATCACGACTGCCCTCGCCACTCTTACGGCTACTCGCAGCGCCGCCACCCAAGCCAATCAATAGACCCGGCCCGCCGAGTACTACCAGCTTTGCGCCGACAGGGATCTTCGACTTCAACGCGAAGTACGGACGGACGTGGCCGTACCCGCCAGCGAGCATTATAGGTTTGTGATAGCCGCGGATCTCCTCGCCCTTGGCACCGGGAACGCGCTGCAGGAAGGTACGGAAGTACCCAGCCAAGCCCGGCCGACCGTACTCGTTGTTGAACCCGCAGGCACCAAGGGGGCCTTCGATCATGATGTCCAAGGCACTCGCAACGTCTTCAGGCTTGCCAATACCATCGACTGAATCTGCACCTTGGTTCTCTGATCCGTTGGTCTCCCATTCCCTGAGGAATCCCGGGATGAGTAGATTGCTCACGGTGAACCCGGTTAGGCCGGCCTTAGGTTTTGATCCCCTACCAACCGCACCCTCGTCTCTGATCTCTCCGCCAGAGCCGGTGGCAGCACCTGGGAAAGGAGAGACTGCTGTAGGGTGGTTATGGGTCTCGACTTTACACAAGATCGGAGCATCCTCCACGCTGGTCTGGTACACACTCGAGCATCCTGGATTGGACTCGTTGGACACGCCGAACCGAGGGATCTGGCTATGACCGGTGAATACAGCAGCGTTGTCAGAATAGGCAGAGATAGTGTAGAAGCCGCTGATCGCCTTCTCGGTGTTGCGAATCATCTGGAAGAGGCTGTTTGGCTTCGGCTGAGAGTCGATAGTCCAGAACGCGTTAAATATTTTATGTCTGCAGTGCTCAGAGTTGACTTGCGCGAACATGAAAAGCTCGGCATCGGTGGGGTTACGCTTTGGGGAAGAGGAAAGGAAGGCGGATACCAGGTAGTTGATTTCGTCCTGAGCTAGAGCAAGGCCGAGTCTTGTGTTGGCAGTGACGAGTTTCTGGCGAGCATCTTCGTATGAGGCAGAGGACGTGGTCGTTGTATCCTGCAGTTCGACTATCCTTAAAGGAGCAGGCGATGAATGGGCGAACATTGTGGTCGGCTCTGGTAAAGTCAATTGGACCGTCTGAGTCATTCGGTCATGGATCAGGTTAGAGAAAGAGGCGATGTCTGAAAGAGACAGTGTGGAGCCGTCCGTGGTGGTGAACGCGTATACGTAGCCTCGCTCGATCCGCTGTACGTGCTGACCTAGGTTACACAAATGCGCAATGTCGGTGGCTTTGCTTGACCATGGGGAAATGGATCCAGCTCGGGGGACTACGTATGCCACATTGGACCCTGAATGGATGACTTTCGTGGTGGAAAGCAGGGTGATCGCGTCGCCATAATTGAGCAATTGATCCAGGATTTTGCGGGCCGCGGAATCAGGACTTGCCAGCTCAGCTTCAGCTTCGGGCGAGGTACTATCGACCAGGTGGACATATACAGCATCGAGAGAATTGATCCGAGGGCAGAACTTTTGTACGGCCTCCAGCAGCGTATCACGCCTGGACGGCGAAACCGCAGACGATCCCAGGATAGACAGCATATCTGCGGGAGTTGACTGTCATTCACAACACCGTATGGCGTGTTCAAACAAATAACACTCACTCTCGCTCCAAGCTGCTTCCCTAAATCACCTTCTTTCCAGGATTTCCTCCCGGTGTAACACGTTGAGTCCCGGGATCAAGAGCTCTGTAATTCGCGTCGATTCATCAGAGCACTCCCCACAGCCAAGCTCTAAGTCGTACTCACTCGGATTGCTGTCAGGAAGAAACCCCTCCGTGCCCTCTGTAGCGAGTCGTCCGCTGACTTGGGTCCTTGAGGAAAGCCGAAGATTGGGGAGCTCCTAGCAGCGATTCGGATGAGAGACATTTTTTGACGATAAGATCGACAAGCCCCCAAAGGGCAGTCAACAAGGGCTTATGTAATACTTTGAAAGGTACTTATATTAGTTTATTTTGCTTGATTAGTTTTGCCGTTTTTCAAGCTTACCTGTTGGTTCTCTCGATCCATTGCCACCACTGGCAAGGAATAGCCTGAGCCCATTGTTGCTTGAGGACTCCCGCGAAGGTCCTGATGGTCTGATGGTCTGATGGTCTAGCTTTTACGCATTTTCAGGCGTTGAAGGATCTCTTTCCGCGAAAATCGCCCACCCTAAATGGAGGAACTGCCGTGCTGCACCTCTCTGCATTCGTGCTATCTTGAATACATGACTATTCAAGACGGCACCCATGTCGGGCGACGTGCTTACTGCGTCCAACCATCTTGACGAACGGCGAAGCGGCCGGACCACGGTATCCCCTGCTCGTGGTCGCCACGTCATCACGCAAATCTCGTTGGCCATAGCTCTCTTTCAAGTTTCGACTGATTGGAATCAAGCACTGGCATGTCGTGATCTAGACCTCTCGTCGTAACACCCTCGTCCATCGGGGCGTCCACATGAAACGGTGCAAATCTGCAACGCGAAGTGTGCCTTCAGTTGATCTCAATATCGGGATCGGTGCGCGCATCGCCATAGCGAAGATGTCGATAATCTGTGACGGCGCGCTGCATAGTTCGCCATGTTCCGGCGTAGTGGCGAATGGTATTCCATCCTGTATCGTATTTCTCCTATTCCGACGTACTGATCGTGGTCAGCATCAACATCGGAAGGTCCTGGGAAGCACATTATATGCAAGAAGGAGCTACTCCGTCGTCGTTTCCCAGTCCGCGTGCTCGCAATACGACGGTATTCGTGGTTCAAATGAGGACAAGCACACTGCAAACTTATCGTCTTCTTGCCTGTACGAGCGACATTTCCCGTAGGCTTGCTGCGCCTCGGGACCGACTTAATGCCGACGGCTCCGTGCTGGAAAGTTCAAAGTCAGCGGGTGTACTACTACCAGGCTTGTCAGCGTTGCTTGCTTCTTTCTGACAATTCTGCCCATGTCTGCATTAGCTGCACGCGGGTCGTTTCGTAGAAGTCGGCCCCCGGTGTGCTGCAGAGGAGCTTCTCTGCCCTGCTAGTCGCGTGACAGCTCGAAGTCTGGACCAGGTAGCCTGAAGATATGTTGAAACCATCGCAACATATCGATTTTAGGTGAGTTGGCCTGACGTCAGTAGCTGAGTTCGCTATCTTGACAGGTATGTCTGATTATCACCCGCCACAAAGTGTGGTCCTGTCAGTGCGTCGTTCTGGGACATTCTGCGTTCCATATGTTCGCAATCTTGTTGGCACTGGGAAGGCATACGACCATACGCACCTGGGAAGTAACGTTTATTTTTACGTCGTACGGAAAATGACCTATGTCTAGATGATGTGCCGGGACGCACGCTGCGCAGCCAGCACGAGCACGACGTTGATGTGTCATTGACATAAACATTCCGTTCGGAGAGCTTTGGGCGAGAGGGATCGTAATTACTGCTTTGACCGAGGCCGGAGCGTACACCAGCGACGAGATGGTGCCGTAACGCTTCTTCTGTGGTACCCACGTTGATCATGGTTGAACGGTTACTGATGGCATGCTGTTCACGAGTCAGTGCTGCTAGCAGCGTCGCTGTGGCTGGACGATCGCGAATATGCTCGTAGACTTCTTTTGAGCATGTCTTGATTCGGAACAATGTATTCAGTTCCTCGACAGTGCTCCACGGCCTAAACATTACATTGGCTTATCTCGCTATAACGGACCCATATCTTCCCAAGAGGCTTCTTTTGACTCGTACTATCTTTAAACTACTTCCCTCGAAGACACTGGGAGATCAGTTGACTTTGCACCTCGAACGACAACATGAAGAACTTCAAGACGCAGCAAGAGTAATAGCTCCTTCTTTCTCATTCGACGCTTTATGCGTCCACATTAGCTATGGTTTCGGAGGGCTACCGTGCTCCCGACGAACGATAATAGACGTCTTCTGGCCATGATCCTGGAGTATTTTCTGGTGCTCGCCTATCGACGTCTATATTCGTCCATATGCACATAACGGGAGAGCTCGCCCACGACCTCAGGCTTCTATCTAACATCTGCAGATGAACTCTGTCCGGGGCACCGGTTTCCCTCAGCTATTCAGGACCCCCTTCCACGCGGGACTCCTCTCGGAAACAGGCAGGTAAATGCAGCCGTGCGTCATGGTGCAGGTTCTGCGGAACTATAAGTAGGTAGGCATGCGACTATAGACTCTCAAGCTCGAGTCGGTGTTCCCCTCGACTAGCATCAGGCAGCAGCCCTCTCTAGCGAATAGTGCAGCACCCCGAGCTCGCCATGTTCCGCTTCACTGCTCTTCTGTCCTTGCTGTTCATCGCTCTTGGAGCGGCAGCTTCCCCCGTCCCGGCCCCTAGTACGGCAACCATGCCGATCGCCAGGAGGTTCAAGACAAACTCCAATGGCGTGGCTAAGATCGTGGAGAATGACCGCGCTCGCATTGCTCACCTGAAGAACCTCTCTAAGGATAAGGCGGCGAGCTCGAAGCGTGCTGAGTACTCATTCTCGGTGACGAACGGTGCTGTAGGTGCTTTCCCAAGTATAATTTGAGGAGCTATGCTGATTTCCATGATAGGTCTCTTACTATGCTACTGTCGGCGTCGGTAGCCCGGCCACCGACTGTTCGTGGGCAATTCATTTATCAGAGGCCGTAGCGCTTTCCTTACACATTTTCTTCTTCGGCAGACACTCTCATCGTGGACACTGGTAGCTCCAACACCTGGGTCGGCGCGTACCAGCGGTACACCAGGACGAGTACCAGTAAGAGTACCGGTGACCGGGTGGTAGGTGTGCCAATATCCCTACGATATATCTATTATTGACCTCCAGCTGTATTCAGGAAGTCAGCTACGGCTCTGGAGCGTTCGAGGGAACGGAGTGTAAGTATTCGCGGATCTGTTCTGTTTCACATGGTCCTTACTTCCTGTCTCCAGACACGGACCGTGTGACACTCTCCTCGAACTTGGTCATCAACTCTCAGTCCATCGGTGTCGCCTCAGAATCAGAAGGTTTCGGGGACGGCGTTGACGGTATACTTGGCATCGGTCCCACCGACCTCACTGAAGGTAAGGAAGCTGTACATTGCAGGAAGATCCACAATCCTGACCTCATTAATCTAGGCACTGTCTCCAATGTCAATGAGGTTCCAACGGTGACCGATAATCTCTACTCTCAGGGAACTATCTCCTCGGATGCCGTTGGTGTATTCTTTGCGCCTACCACGTCTGAGTCCGACACCAACGGCGAGTTGACCTTTGGTGGCGCTGACACCACCAAGTACACCGGCACCCTAAACTACGTTCCTGTTACTACTACGGAGCCGGCTAGCTACTACTGGGGTGTCAACCAGGAGGTTACATACAACGGCGAGACCATTCTGTCTGAGACCGCCGGTATCGTCGACACTGGTACAACCCTCGTTTACCTGGCTACCGGTATGAAAACTTGCACTCTTTGAGCGATATGCGCAACTGATTTTATTATCCTTTCCAGACGCCTATGACCGCTATGTCAGTGCCACTGGTGCCACTCTGGACTCGGAAAACACCGGTTTGCTTGAGATCAGCGCTGCGCAATACGCTGCCCTGCAGACTTTGGACTTCAACATTGGTGGCACGACCTATGGTCTCACGGCTAACGGACAGATCTGGCCGCGATCCTTGAACACCTACATCGGTGGGTCCAGCGGGAGCATCTACTTGGTCGTCAACGACGTGAGTTCTGGTGTTATACTCTGATCTGACTATGCGTTAATATCCTCCGATCATGAAGCTCGGGAGCGACAGCGGTGAGGGCCTTGACTTCATCAACGGGTACACCTTCCTCGAGCGTTTCTACACTGTCTTCGATACCACGACTTCCTCCATCGGGTTTGCGACGACCTCTTATACCGACGCTACGACCAATTAGACGGGGGTAATGGGCACTGTGAAGGGTCATGGATGTATTGCTACGTCTTTAAGGACTAATGTATGAGAAATGTACTGGCAGTGTACTGGCAGTAGAAACGAAGCAATAGGGTAGAGGTTCATAAGGAGCTAGAGGTGTTACTCATTGGTCTTCGCTCGACTCATGCCACATGCCGTTTCAAACCAGTCCTTTCACCTGCAGACCGCAGGCCCAGCTGCTGCAGTCTGGCTACCGACCTATATCCGTGACTCAAGGCTCTTCTACCACGACGCTGAATTCCTTGGAGCTTCGCGGGCGCTCGGAGACAGCAATGTGCTAACGGAAGATATGGAAAAGGGCGGACCGGGCACATATCGCCCCAGTCCACCTAGTTGCCCATGGCAGCACCGAGTGCCATGTTCCAATGGATAATTCGCGGGCTGCGCAGCATGGTGTTATTTTTTTGGTTATGGTAGTACGGGACGAGTGGCCCTTCACAAGATCCGCCATGTGACACTGGCAAAGGTATTGGCCGACCAGAAGACCAATGATATATGAACATACGGGTAGTGAGGATGCGTGCAGCAGCATGGGGCTCTCCATTACCTGTAAACGGTTCACCACAACGTATCAAATTGGGCGTCAGTGGGACAGCCCAAAGCTGAGGTATAATCATGATCCTCTGGCTCCTAATATTTCAGGCCAAAATTTGAGGATCCACGGCACAGATCCTACAGGTCTAAGCCCTTCCGATACTAGCTTCAAGTGCAGGATTTTGGGAGCCCCTCGATGATACATGGAGTCCGTTGGCTGCTCGTAAGCGCGAAAGATACCAGTCAAGAAATTCAAATTCACGACGACCCAGAGGAAATTCGCACTTATCGTCACGATACCTGGATAAGCCCTCCGGTGGGGATACATCCGGAGGTCAGCGACAAGGGACGTTTATAAAATCCAATGACGGAGAGGGGCTGACCTGAGTGAAAAAACATGGGCTAGTATACTGGCGAAATTGAGAATGGATATGGATAAGATGCATGGCAGCGCAGACGATCACAGCACAGCTGCCTCGCTAAAGCACAAGCTCGGGGGAAGATCGAATGTCTACAGCGGTCGATCCATGAGGGGTAGGTGCATATTATATCTTGTTGCCTTGCGACTCTGGCCCTCAGGGATTAGTCTTCTCTGCCAAGGTTCAGGGATCTCAATGGAACGGTGCTTGGCCGATTACTCCTTTAACTTGGTCAGGACCCCACCCGCAATTGCTAGTACAGAGGGCATTAAGGAGTCCAACAATGGCCAAGTTAGTACGGAACGGATGCCATTGGCAAACTGCAGGGTATCCGCACCGGCAATGACTAGCTATAGCAAAACAGGCTGAGACTCAGAAGGGTTACGAAGCGGGTGTGACGAGCGCGATGAGTCACACGCACTGGCACCTGAGATTTGAGTCTCCGGGACGCTTCGGGCAAAATCGAAAATCTTGATAACATTTCGCTGGCAGTTTCAGTCTGCAATTGCGCGCAGAAAAACCAGGCATTGAACGGATGCTACATTGTAAGCCCAACATGCAGATACAATACTAGTAAAGACGACAAGTCCTCCCACACAGCTGACGCAGATAGGGGGTATCAGATAATACGTGGCATCCCTCCCTTGAAAAGACGATGATGATTACACTGTCAACAACACAACAACAACAAGCCCAGCGCGAGTAGGAAACAACAAAGGGAATGAAACTGAAACAGTGCGGCACGGACGACAACAACAACATGCAGACAATAATAAGACAGAAACCGACAAGCATATAAGAATACCAGACAGCTCTGGGGGCTGGATCCGCGAGTAAAGATGCAATATCTCTAGGAAACCAAGTAGGTCTCTCCACCTGTCTTTACTTCTTCCTCCCCCCCGTCTCACGCTTTTGGCGAGTGGCAGGGTTCCCATGTGTCTTCTCTTTCGACCGTCTGGCTGGCACTGGACGTGACGACAGAGGAGGTATCTTTATCTTGAGACTCTCCGTCTCGGGAGCGGCTCTAGGGACCGAGGCAGAGGCAGAACGCGTGATTCTCCCAGTTTGCTCTTGGACCTCTGGTAGGGCGTCCGAGGTTTTCCCAGTGGAAGCCGCAGTGGAAGGGGCAGCGACACTGTCTTTCCACTTGTGAACACTGGTTGTCCGTCGACGCGTTTTTGTGTTTGGTGGACAACTCTCCTTGTCCTGCGCATCTTCACACACGGCGTTGACTCTGCGTTGGTTTACGGCGGATGCCTCAGCTTTGCCCTTCTCTTTGCTCTTTCGAGCGCCGACCTTCCTTGGCTCTGACTTCTTCGCTATGCCCGGCTGTGTGGGGCTTACCTTGGTGGCTACTCTTTCTTTAGCCTTGGCCTTGCCCTTGGACTTCGTGGATTGTCTCGCGGCCTTCTCTGAGACCGGCTTGGCTTCCTCGACCACATCAACTTCGGACTCCCCTTCATCTTCGAGCTTGAGGACGACCTGACGCTCCTCCTCAGCATCGCCATCATTCACGGTCTCGAGTTGTTTGTGAAGCTCCTCCTCGGAGATGGCGGATAATGCCTTGCTCTTTCCGTCGGCCTTGCTGTCGCTCCTGGCTCCACTGTCCACGGCGGGCGTGATTTCAGACCCGACGAGAGTTGTACTCCCAGTCGACGGCGTCAAAGAAGGTTGTAAGTGCGGTAATCCGGAGTCCTTTGGGACACCCCGCAGACGTGCACTTTGTCGTTCCGGCGCCCGTGGCACCTTGATCACCTTTGCCTTCTTGGCACAGGTGTTCCACTCGCGTTCCTGGGCAGGAGGGGATACAGTAACTTGCGGGGCATTAGGTCCGGTCTCCTCGACTTGAACGTCTGCCTGCGGACTAGTGTCGACATCTTTCCCCTGATGATCATTTTCCACCCCATTAGCGTCTGAGGACGTCTCGTTCTCCCTTAGTTGCAGAGGTTCGAGATTGGCAATTACGCTGGAAGTAGCTGTGGCCTTCGCCATTGACTTGAGAACTCGATCGGAAGGAGGTGGGGGTTCTCGTTTTGTCCTCTTGACGGGTGGCCTGATGACTTGTGCGTCGTCGCCGTCCTCACCCTCTTTCCCAGCTTCTCGTTTTCTTTTCGCAGACTTTTTCTTCCGTGACGTTACCTTTGATTTCCTTGTAGCTTTTGTTGCTACCTGGGGCGGCTCTGGAGCTGGGGCTTTTGCCGGCATTTCGCGATAGGTAATCAGCGGAGTGTACCACGCCCTAGGTACAAGCTCCCAAGCACGGCTCTGTCTGTCTAGCACGTCATCAAGACTCGTTATCCGGGAACTATAAGGTTCTGAATTCGGGACGACTATTCTGCGAGGACTTCGCTCTGTTAGACCGCCCCATGGAGGTCGTGTCAGCTTTACTATGATAGTTGAGAGGACGGTACACGCACTGAGTTCCTCCCACATTCTCCTCCAACTCTCTTCCCTCTTCTCGGAACACCAAATAAGCCAGTGCGCTGGCCATGCGGGACTACTGATAAGGAGGAACGCCGCAACTGCAAAAACTCGAGGATCATCGGGGGGTAGGGGTGCATTTTCTATAAACTCCTCTCGCGTTGCAGACCAACCCCCAAGCCGGTCATGGGCTTTCTGAACTTCATAGATCCATTTCTGGATAGCCGGATGGTACTCGTGTACCAGCTCGTCAGGTCCCACCTGCCCATCGCCACTTGCCACACTCTCACGCGATCCAGCTATCATTGCAGATTAGTAGGGGGAAGATAGATAGTAGCTCAGAAAGAAGATTCACCTGGTCGAGCAGCTGGGTGAGGATCAATGCCAAGTTCATTGCCGGTGATTTCCTGGCGTGCAAATGATAGAGGGAACTCGGAGCCAGCCACATCCTCTATGGCGAAGCCTTCCTCCGATCCGGGCGAGAGTGAGGGCGAGAGTGGTGGCGAGGGAGCACAATACTCGACGTTGAATATAGCCTGACGTAGGATGTTGCCGAAGGATGTCATAGATTAACAATATGCTTCTGGTCGTCGTGATAGTTATTGTGGCCTCCTGAGGTGTAGGCCTTGGAAATCGACATACCTGTTGAAATCTGAGCGAATATATATAGGAGACGTGTCGATATGGTTGTAGAACGTAGAGCCCTCAAAACTGAATGAAGCAGGTGTGTGTGCACGTCTCAGGTGGTAAAAGTGCAAGAGGATGAGGTTGGACGCAGTGTGGCCAGACGCGGTCACAGGCGTGGGAGCATACTCCGCAAGGAAGCACGAATAAGCGCTTACTTGAGGCCTCATTGTTCTTCGTTGGTAACAGCAGAGAGGAACGAGTGCTGCGATTATTGCAAGAAAGGATGTCTGCTATTTTTTTTAAAAGACGTTCGGCGGGATGGCCAATATTTATGCTGCTCTGTCTGTTGTGGCGCGCGAAGTGCAGGTGGCACCTCTGGAAGCAAACCGACTCAATCTCGTAATCATCAAGATACCCACGCTACCGCGTGCTTTCTGCCGCAAATGACTCTTTCATAACTACAGTCCTGTAAGTAAGTTATATAAAAAAGAAACTGGCGTCGATCTATGCTGATATGAGCGTGTTATTATCATCGATTCATGAAGTTGGAAGTCGATAACAAGAAAATGGTGCGGAGATCTGGCTATATTTATTGTTCTCCACCAACAGACTGAGCATTGCGATGAATTTCAGTCTTCGTTTCTCGGTGCAGCACAGGCATACAGAGGTATCTACACCTAGTCAAATATGCGAAGATGTGTTTCACCTCAGTCCGCTGGATTTTTAAGGCGACTTTGCTACCAAACGAACATTGTCGGCTAAAGCGTTCGTGGAATTAGCGACCATGGAGCAGAAGAATGTACGCACCTGTGCACCGCCAGACGGAGGCAAATGCACTCTAAGTACGATATGCAAGAGAGTAGACACTTTCGTTGGCTATCTCTGATAGTAATATTAATGAAGCAACGAGATACTGCCAGTAACAGCCCAAGCACCAGTCACGGTGTATGCGGGCATGGACGCGTCCATCTCACAGATGGCTTTACACTAGGGCAATATAGAGATGGTCACAGAGGCTCGGGCTTGTCCCGGCGATCCTGATCTCCTTCAGCTAACAGCAGCGGACTCGTGATTGCGCTTTAGTTTCTTCACCACTTTCAATCGCCCCTTAGTCATATTGATAGAGCGGCGGGTACGGGGAGTCACAAATGATCGGTCAGCACAATGCAGTAGACCTAATGGAGTCCGAAGGAGTTCCCTAACGCGAGATAGTCTGGTGATCAGTCGCTACTCTCCATGCTCTGATGGAGTCCAGGTGCAATCCCCCGGTGGACTGAAATCCTCGTCGCAGAGACATACGTAGGTGACTGATTGGGCACAGGGACGTGACCGATTCTATCGAAAGATTCTGGGTTAGCAGGCTCAAAAAGGATCAAGTGAAGATTACATCGGGTATTCCCTAGAACCATAGCGATATGTTATATGCTGTTCGTGCGCTCCGAGTACTGATATGTGGCGCATCACCTGTAAATGAACGACTCCCTTACTGTCGATGGACTGTCCTGCGCGGTCCACGGCAAGGTTCAGAGGAGCGTGGGCAATATGACGCTCTCGTATAACTCATCCACGTCAAACTTGACATGGATTCGTCGCCTGTGGATGTCGAGGCGTTGACCCAATTGTAGCCAAATTGCCGCCGTTGCGCAGGAAAAGAGTGAAACAATGCACTTGCAGATAACGGACGCACGAAGGACAGCAATATTTTATCAATTCTCGGAACTGAGCGTAGGCGGTCGCAGAGGAGTGTGAGCGTGAAGCGTAAATGTTCCAAGGGCTCCAAGAAAATCCTATACGTCGGGAAATATTGGCTTACTGTCAGCTGGTAAAGCCAAGATAACGTACATTAAGAGATGAAAGTCATGGTGACATATCCAGGCACCAGAAGGTGAGATGTATCAGTGTGAACGGCCTCAAGATGCTGTTTCAACTGTAAGCTGACTTGGATGAAGGATATCAGCAATTGTTGACGTGTTCGTAACTTGCAGTCACCATGGATGAGACTAGCTAGCGAAACGCACACCTAAGTCAACGCCACCATTCGATGCGAAAATGAAGGTCAGGTCATGACCTGGATACGTGGGGCGCTTCTGTATATGTTCCCGTGGAGAAACGAAAGACGCGCTGCAATGCCCCTAGTCAGTTAAAGAATCTTGCAATGTAGCGTACGTGAATAAGTGACGCATGTTATAAACATCTTAAGGTTCAACGCTGAGCCCGTAGCCACGTTATGGGGCGGAAAACAGGCCATTGCTCCGTTACGGCTTGCAGACATCCGAGAAGACAATCCAGAGTCAAAACCCTCCAACAGCAATGATGGTGTTCCAGCATATCCAGGGTTTGTGCGGAGCTCAAAGAGAGAAACCTCGGCTCGGCCAAATTTCGCGACTATCATGCTACAGCGGACCCATATAGGCGTATGGGATGGGGAGGGAAATCGATAACGGCAGTCGAAGGTAGAACAGCCCACTTTGCAAGCTCAAAATTCAAAAGGCGGAAGCGCGCGAGATGGAGCGTAGAGCGAGTTACGACTTCGGAGGCAAGGAGCCTAAGTTGCCAGCGCGCTGGTGGCGATGCACTTCCAACCGTCTCCCCGAGCCTGAGGAGCCCGGCTTGACACTTAAACCAACGACAAGTCAAGAAAGTAGAAGCGAATCGCAATAGTTCTGGGCTCCACATATACAGTCATTTGATGGTTTGCGGTCTGACTGGGGAACCCTAACCTCTAACCCACCAGATTCACGAACCCGACGCGTGATCCAAAACATTAGCCAAATGGAGTGGGTCTTCCGTCGTTTGCTGCCCGTGACGATCGCTCACCCTGAGCTTTCAACTTACGGGCATGTTACTTGTTCTAACCACATCATCATAGCCTATACCGGGATGGATCCACAGTTGCGTTTCCAGGGAAGGCCATTCAGGATGTCGTCGACTTTGAAGATTACAATTCCGGGACAATGGCACTTTTGCACCGCCCGTACCACAGATTTATACCTTTAAGTACTCGTGGAAGGGTTTTATATCTAACTGATGCGCTAGGTGAGTTCAATATCGTGTCGTATTCCCTCGACAAGGGCGATGAACGCCTAGTTTTCCTCGAGCAGAACAAAAATCTACTCAGCTGTTTCCTCGAAGGATATGATGCCAGGACTTAACTTTCAGATAGAAGAACTTCGTCTTGCCGTGACGCCGGCAGTCGTAGCATGTACCGGGACTCCTTCACACATATCGCCGGTAGACCCGCCCGGTCAAGCCGCACCATATGACCTAACTCACAGGGGAGGCGTCGGCTCAGAGTGGGGACCCTCGCGAGCTTCCTGGATAAGCTTGCCATTCCATTGCATGCGAACATGCCCGTTTCCCCACCTGCCACTCAGTGGAGAGCCGTGTTACAGGGGTTCATCTAGGCTTCATGATGAATCCGCACTGTATCCGCGCTCTACGCCAATCCATGTTCAGTATTGTTCGGCACATAGAATGCCCAGGTGGATCCGTCGCGATGCCAGAAATCGGACCAGGTGATTGGTGCGTCGCTCGTCCTGCCGCTTCGAGTCCTTTCCAAGTGTAAATGATATTATTGATGAGCGCTTCATAGCATTCTTTGCCTACTTCTCGGGAAGATGTACCAGCTGACACGGGAGGGCGGCGGCCGTCCCGTACCTCTTCGCTCGCTGAAAAGTCCAAAATAGTGGGTGTAGTTCAGAGCTGCGACGAAGCCCAGGTCTTCTCTCGGCCATCACATGACTGAACGCGGGTGTTCGTGTTCTGGGTTTATCATCCGCCCTTCTCCAGGACCCATCTTTCCGCTATATAATCTTCCCATGGATACAGCCAGATGACCAAGTTCAAGCCGAAGCAGACCTAGCGTCCCAAGCGTTCCCAAGTACTCGTACGATGACTTGTCCATATTACCGGAAAGGAGAAAGGCTCGCAATATCCAGCATGTGAGTGTTGCTAGTTTCTAGCGCAACGTTTCCGTCCTCGGGACCTTTAAAAACTTCTCCGAGTTTCCTACATTATGGGTACTTGTCTATCTCACGCACAGCTGAGCCAAACCTCCGGCTTGCAAGACCTCATACCCGACTGTCGGTGGCGTGTCGCGCGCAAAATTGGTTTGGTCAGAATCTGCGTGTATGGCGAGCAGCGGAATCCGCAAATCATACCCCTGCCCGAGGAGGCGTTTCTTTATCACCTCGCGCCACGTATATTCCAAGAACGCACCAACTCAGCCTCAATGGACCAGGAATCAATTCTCCCTTGTCTCTGAAGGCTGCTTTATAGTCGAGATTCCGTCCCACATATTTACAATGTACGTCGACCAACTTTTACCACGTGACTCGTCCTCCTAACCATGGCGTCAAGCATTTTAATACTAGCATCACATCGCAGAGTAATCCATGAAACGGCATTGGCTTGCCCCAGCCCCCAACCCAGAAATCTTCTATGACCTTGAATACCGATGCTCGCTGTCAGTAATCAATGTGGTACCTTCATTGAGATATGCTGTATCTAGGTACGTTGGATCTTCCCCAGCCGAGATCGTCGTTTGCCTTCAGGTCTCCAGATTGACTCTGGTACCGAGAGATCGTCTTTGTTGAATGAAATGAAGAACACAGATAATTCGCCAGGTTCCATTGGTTCGACGGACTGAAGGACGCAAGTTCTGTAGATCAATCATAATCGCGAATAATGTCATGACGATGTTGCGGCTGGAATACACAAGTTCTTTTGTTACTCTGATATGCGGGATCGCAACGCCTTCGTTATAAGACAAGACGATGCAGACCACATCTAACGATCCGCGACTTCTGTGTTTTAGAGCTGAAGACGTCGTTTCACCAGGAGATAATATCGATGTGAGTTGGTTGCCCCTTATTTCTTCAGACGATGATGAATACTGCGCAGGTCACGTACGAGAGCAGTCAGGGTGAGTCAAAGTACTATCCGCATGCAGCAGACCCCAGTTTCATGTTCGTTGACGTTGAGCTACAATAACTTCGCCGTATAATAAGATCGCGCTCTTCAGACGCGTTACATTACACGACAGGCATGTTGCTGTGGAGCTCCAGTCGACGAGCGGGATGGTCAGCTAGATGCAAAGGTCCACCCAAAATACCTTTCTCTGAGTAGGTTCCTGGTGCCACCGTATCATGAGACCCAGAAGATCATACCCGTGGTTCACTGGGAAGGCTAGTCCATGAATGCATGACGTTTCTACTCAATTATTGTCATCATGAAGCACAGTCTGCACCCGTTGAGGACGAGGGCTTCGACATACGGCGGTGATACCAGTAGGCACGCACGAGGACTGTATTTCAAGAACCTCGTCAGCCTCTCTGAGGGATAAGGCACTGGGAACCCGTGCAAGGCATTGCATTGCACACATGAACCGTCTTTAAGGCTTGATATAATGTCGAGCATTGAGGTACTACTAGTTCGAGACAGTACTAGTATCGCTTTCAGTCACTGTAACAGTCGCGCGAGGCGTGAGATACCATCCTCAGACCTTATTTGAAACCATTGCGAGCATGAGACACGCATCGAACGGTCATATGCTTGGCTATGTAGTCCGTAGAATCCATGAGAGGTAAATATCTTCGGGGCGACAGGATGAAAACAGGACTAAGCCCATAAAGGCTGTAAATTCCCTTCTAGTCGACGTGATAGGTTGTTTATCGGCATATTCCGACGGTTATCCCGAAGTGCCTTGCTTCCTGTGTTCATATCTCTCAGATCAATCATGGCCATGCTTACTGGGTGCGCTCAGCCCCACCCAGGGCAGCGCCTGTAAGCTTGTTCGCATCCTCAGTCTACTAGTTTCGACATCGTACTAAATTTGTGGCCTGAATATGAACGTCTGGCTTGGGACCAAGCTATTTGTGGTGGATTTACCTCTTAAACACGGCTGTCTCATGCATTTTGATCTTTGACCTTGACTGTGCCGGTTATCGATTCCAAATATGCCGCTCGATTTTCTCGGTGTCCAGTTGGTCACTGAACTCAGTTCCGTGGATGAGGACCTTTGTCTGCTCATCTGTTCAGGTGGATGACATATCCCTGCGCTCCGCCTGAAAGATGTGGAAGTTGGCGACGAATCAGCGAACTTTCCACTCGCGTTATTGATTATCGAGGTCAACCAGGAAGATCGCAACATCGCGGAAGGGCTCTATCGATGTTCTTCTTTGCGCTGCCTGTGGGACGCCGGTCACGCCGTACACGTTGTTTCGGGACCATCTTCCTTCCGGAATCCGATAACATTCTGTGCATCGCAGAACACCGGGTCGGATCTGACGCTGTACTGTTATGGCTCACTCAGCGCGCCATGACGCGCTTCACATATCCATCTTTGGCTTAGCGGATACTCCTCGACGAGTATACAAAATGGTAGACTCTGCATCGAAGAAAGGCGGCCACTGTCTCAAAACCCTGATCCAAGGATTGCAGCGCGTTGCTGGGCGGGGCTGAATCGCTTTCCATGACGCACTACGGCCTTCCCTACTTCCTTGAGGACAAGACCGGCTCTTTGGCGGGCTCTGACTTCGTGGACATCCATGACCGAATGCGACTGAGTGTACGCTGTACAGCGCGTGATGCCCACCGATGCGCCTTCATGATCTATAATATGAACCCTTCCGTGGGCGGTCTGCTCAAGCCTTGTGCTGTTCTGGACTTCGGACCCAATAATACACTGGGGACAGTGGCAATAGGTTCCGGGTGTCATATACCCATGACCCGTTATCTCACGAAGGTTTCGCCTTTGGGCAGGTAACGTCCACTTATTTGGCTCTCAAATCGTCTGGCTTTCAATGTTGAACGAAATGTAGCTCCCGCACGAGAAAATTCATTGCGTCTGATGGCCAAGAGTACCGATGGAACTGGCGTGCTAGGGATAACTGCGAATGGGTCGTGGGTGTTACGTTCATATCCTGTGAAAGCATTTCCCTAATGGATCCTTCTCGTCCCAGTGCCAGAACGGCAAAAATTATATGGTGGCATGCTACAATCTGAAACTCCCCGAAGAGCCGCCCTACAGTGGCTCTTCGGGATGTATGCTGACCATAGAGGAGGCGTACTGCCATCTCGCTGTCGGTGAGTCTTGGTGGTAGCGTACCTTGGCTTTGTCCCTCATGCCTGTCCGCTTAGAGTTCCTGGCGTCGCTAATGATCATGCGATATATCGCCGCATACGACCTTTAACGCCACCCGAAATCCCGCTTCCATTTCGCCTGATGCTTCTTGTCCATTCTGGTCTCTCTCACTCAATTGTACTGCAATTCCGCACTCACAAGATCAGGACCTCATCCCATGGACCAGTCATTTTACGTGTATATCTGTGTCCAGACGCCCGCAGCATCCACACGAGTACTCACTTATCTGTATCTGTACATAGTATAGTTGTATCATAGCGCGCATGTCAGCTTTGTACGATATAGTCGATCATTCTATGTCCTTTAATACCGCAATCACTACGGTGTCCAAGCGTTCTTGTCCACTCATTACTTGCACATAAAGTGGGATACGGAGGCAATTCCTCGAGATGGTGCTTCTCGCTCTGATCGCTGTCTTTAGACAGTGCCACAACGCCTCGCGGATGCTGTACGGGTCGGACGCTGGGCGCTCTGACGTCTGCCCTCGGGGAATCGTACCGCGACAGGGATCGGTCAACCTGGCCAAACAGGGCCAAGATCTTATAGACTCCGGCGAAACGCCCAACTTTGTACGTGGAACGCTCGCAAGCGACTCTGTCCCTACGTTGTGCCTCGATCGCGACGCAATGCAGCCACTCAATGGCGACGGCCAAGGACGATACAAGGTCCACATCGTGGGGAACAGCGGTACGTACAGTGAAGACAGTACTTATCTGCCTTGAAACCTCATGCACCGCGTTTCCCCAGGGGCGGGAAAGGTAAATATATGCGAGTCGTCTTTGACAACTGCTATAGTGAGATATTTCAGTCTACACTAGGAGCAGAATTAGCGCAGATGCTGCGTGTCCCATACATACCTTTGGACACCTTATTCTGGGAACCAGGCTGGAAGAAGACTTCCGTCTCTGCTTTCCGTGCCAAAGTTCGTCGAGCTTTAGATCAAGCTCCAAACGGTTGGGTTGTCGACGGAGATTACTCCCGGCGTGTCGGCGACTTGGTCGACGAGGAAGCCACAGACATTGTGTGTGCGTATTCCTTCCTTTGTGGTTATACACACGAGCCTTTGTGGCTAGTTCCTAACAGGGGGGCCGCCGCTCGTGTAGGGCTGGACCCTCCTTTACTGCTATATTTTCCTCGGCTCTGCGTCCGTACGGTGTTCCGACTTCTCTCGCTGAGGCCGCCGTGCAGTCCAGGCTGCGAGGAGAGGGTGCGAGAAGCGTTCTTCTCTACCAATAGTATCTTGTGGTGGTGTCTTAGCCAGCACTGGACTGTTCGCAAAAGAGAAAGGACAAAGCTGCGAGAAGACGCAGTAGAAATTGGGGGCAAAAGACGTCGGATCGGCGGATGGGGCCGAGAGTTGCTTCTGTGGAAGCGAAGTGTGGAAGAGATGCTGGTCATTGGGGGCGTTACTCACTCCCAGGCATGATATTGATATTGAGCGGAGTTTCAAATCTATAAGAGGCAAGTTCGCGTGGCTCGCGACAGATGCTTGGGGAACGCTGGGGCAGGGATATCTCGTCTAAGTCGTTACGGAGCTTCTAGAATCAATATTATAGTAGAAGTTAAATAATGTAAATTTCCTGAACTTGTGTCGGCGCGGGCGTATCAGCCATGGTATTGTGAGCGTGAGGCGGGAGTTGCCGAACCATTAGCACAGTTCAAACTCAGCTCAATATCATGAGTGACTTGTATACGGGGATTTCCTGCACAATAAAATCCAAAGATTTTGTTTGAGTACTCTAGCATGTTGTACCTATAGGATATACTAACCACAAAGCAGGCGCCATCTCATGGGGCATTGTGCACCCAGAGTTCCGGTCGCAGCCACCCTCGATA